GCCATCACTCACCTGCTCTCATTGCAGGGAAAGGAGGCATAAAGCAATGGACCTGGAATTTCATCACTAGGGAACTGATACTGCTGATCTTGCACAAGGAAAAACTCCTGTGTAGTCCCTAGGAGTTTGTCCTGTGAAATGATTCCAGGATAGAATCTGAAGTGTACCTTTTACCAATATTTGTATATAAATTTCCCTACTGGGTTGAAGATCAGTGATTTTGACACAGTAGGCCAAATTCTGTTCACTTGTTCTGGTGCAACCCGTAGTGATGTTAGTGGAGTTGTAGCTGTGAAAATGAGAGCAGAATCTGGCTCGTCTTCTGTACTAATATTTAGGTACAAGGGTGTGAAGGATATAGCTTCACTTCTGATATCCTGTGAACTTAATTTGTGCAGTCATAACTTAAGGCTTCATTCAGCCCTGTAACATTTGCGGGTTATGAAACTCCCAGGGTCAGAGGTATAAAGAGGTAGATCTAACTCATGGCACTGGCAGGGGGCTCATTCATCTGTGTTCTCATTCCTCAGAACAGAGCTTGGGTTCTTCCTCCTCACATAAGTTAGTCCAGAGGAGAGCCAAAAGTACATGGACTTGTCAATGTCTCTCTAAATAGCATGGTGCATCTGCAGCTAAATAAGGACTTAGCTCCTGATCCTGGAGTTTCATGTGTGCGGCCAGACCCTTGCACTCGCTCTGACCTCCACCAAACTCATTGCGACTTCACATGGGTGGAAAGCAGGGCTGGCCCTAGACCAAATTGCGCCCCAGGCAAGGAGCATCTTTGGCACCTCCCCTCCATTTGTTAACCTTTTCAAATCCTTATTCTTTATTGCATTTGTAGCCCATTTCATGACTTTGATGCACGATTTGCATGCATGATTTATCCCGGTCATGTAAGATGACAAATTTTCATGCTAGGATCTGTAAATCTGTCTTTATTCATGCCATATATAAGCAAATAAAAAATTTGTTTCCTCTAAGTTTATAGAAACTTTTTTAATTTTAAGAATGACTGACTGAACTGTACTCACATCAATAAATTGAACTGTGCGCCAGCATTGTGTGGACTGGTATTAAATAGTGTTACAGTAGGTGACAGCCTTGGAATGTTAGCCCTAGTCCTTTAGTTCAAAAGGTTGCTCTTCTCGCCTTTGCCCTCGTGAACTGAAGCGCAGCACTGGGCAGATTCAGAGGCTGGCCAATGGCATTTTCAATCAATTAAATAGCAAGTGATGTCAATCTCTCCTTGGCCATCGTCGATCGAAGATATGTTTTCATGAGCCTGAGCTTCAAAAAGCTGTGCTCACCACACATGACTGTGTGGCAGCATGAGCAGAATCCTCAAAGCTATCCACACGTTAGCTATCCACACGTTCAGCTCTGTATCATGAATGAACTGGAGAACTTGAAGTGGAGAGTGCTTCCCTTGTTGCAAAATGTGATGGATATTGTCCAATTCAACATAGAGGTCTTTATCATTGCCTTTTGAACATTCCCCATGTGTCAGAATCCAGTGAAGGTCTTTACAATTGTTCAAGAGTGCATTCCGGTCTGTCAACAGCTTACTAAGGTCATACCCCCTCCCCTTACCCCCCAGGTCCTTTTGTGGTGCTTCATTTGTCCGAACCTTTCTTCGATGGACACTCGAACAGTGTTAACAAGAAAGCAAAAAATCCCTACTGAATTTTTCTTCCAAGCTTCCCATCACCTCATCTCTGCCTTCATAACCAAACTGTCTCTTCTTCTAATGAATACGAGTTCCATCAGGGCATCGTAAACCTCAGTCACTTGGTACCTCACTGGCCTTACGCTGTAAGGGTCAGTGTAGCTCTCCCAGCAAGTGTCAATTAGTGGCTTCAGTGGTCAGATTTGTAACATTGGCCATGAGGCTTTTCCACCCGATAACTGATGCTGAAAACAGGATTTATCTTCCTTGCAGAACTCTGAAGACAGATATTGAATCTAACGCTGCATCTGACACAACCAGGTTGAGGGAATGGCAGCCACAAGGCACGAAGAAAGCTCTAGGATTCAGCGCAGGGATCCTTGCCTGGATGCTACTGTTTCTTCCCTTCATGTTCCTGCCATTGTTGTAGCCTTGGCCTCAGCATTCCTGAAGCTTTATTTTATTGTCATTCAAAATGTTCATAAACGGTTCTGTTAGGTCTTTTCCAGTAGAGTTGTCCACAGATGGGAAACAGATAAAATCTTCCTTTACTTGGATACAGCCATTCTTGTCATCAACAAATCTTACTGTAAATGACATCTTTCCACTGTGGCTAATGTCAGGAGTGCAGTCCATTATTACGGCGTAATACTTTGCTTTGCTGAGCTGCATCAATATGCTATTGAGTAACTTCCTTGCCATAGGGTCAATCAATTCATTTTGAATAGTTTCGCTGCCATAATGGTCCATAGCTTCTTTATGAACTATTTGACATAAGTGCTCATGCATGACATTGTCGTATTTCCCAAGGAGCTCTACCAAACTGAGTAAATTACCATTATGTTGAATGAACAAATTATCCGATGAGCCCTGGAAAACCAAATGATTCTTTGCAAGGAAGAGGGTAATTGAGATAATATGCTTGAACACATTCCTCCAGTGCTGGGTTTCTACATTGATAATGTGCTAGTTTTCTGCATCTATGCATTTATTTAGCTTGAGTCTGAGCTTGAGCTCCTTCCATTTATGTGTTAAGTATGGCAAAAGAAGTAACAATATTTCTTTTATATTGTTGCATAGATAGGGGTTCAATAGACATCTCTGGCATCTCATTAACTATGTCCTATATTAGTTGCTACTTACACTCTTCAAGTCTTAAAACACAAGTGCACTTTCACAATTACACAATAAAACAAGTTTCAGAGGAACAGCCGTGTTAGTCTGTATTCGCAAAAAGAAAAGGAGTACTTGTGGCACCTTAGAGACTAACCAATTTATTTGAGCATGAGCTTTTAAAGCTCATGCTCAAATAAATTGGTTAGTCTCTAAGGTGCCACAAGTACTCCTTTTCTTTTTACAATAAAACAAGTTTCAGAGTAGCAGCCATGTTAGTCTGTATCTGCAAAAATAAAAGGAGTACTTGTGGCACCTTAAAGACTAACAAATTTATTTGAGCATAAGCTTTCGTTAGCTACAGCTCACTTCAATGGATGCATGCAGTGGAAAATACAGTGGGGAGATTTATATACACAGAGAACATGAAACAATGGATGTTACCATACACTCTGTAACAAGAGTGATCAGGTAAGGTGAGCTATTACCAGAAGGAGAGCAGGTTCACAATATTGCAGCTGGGATCTCACTTCACTGCAGTTCGTTCTTATAGCTCACTGACTGCCTGGTGATGCCACGCCTCTTATACACCTCCGAGGGCATGGATGACAGCATTGTAGGAAGTTTGAGGAAAACGTAGTTCTCAGAAAGTGTGGAAGGTTCCATGAGATTCTACAAAACTCCAGAACATCTAGGAGCTTAGCATAATTCCATATATGGAATGCCTGAAAAATTTAACTTCAAACATTCTATTTCCCCTTTTGTCGCTAGCAATGAAAACAGCACCCCAAGCCCAGCGCCCCTCAAGACCGGCACCCCAGGTGGTTGTGTAGGTCATCTGCCCCTAAATCTCTCCCTGATGGAAAGGTCTGGTCATGCAGATCCTGCAGCAGAATCAATAAATAGGTGGAAATGTGCTGACTTGAGACATTCTGTAGGTAAACATTTTAATCTATTAGAAACAATAAAGATTTTTGCATCAATTGCTTATGGTTTGTAATGTGAATTCAAAAGGGAGGGATGGAGGTAAGAGTTTTTCAGAGGCTTCAAATAATTTCTGTAATCCAGATAGGCCACTGTAACTCTCTCCGAGCTGCTATAGTTCATGGTATGATTGCAAATGTAACTACAATATGGGATGTATGCTGGGGTTAAATATGGCCAGTCCATTGGGCGTTGCTGGCTGCTTCAGGGACATGAAGGCTTATTGTGTAAATATTTATTTTGGTGCAGTATTTTGTAAAACACATTAAAAGAACATTGTCAAGAACTAACTAGTTTGTTTCATGCTTGTTCCACTATTATTAATATTATCTTAGAAACTTGACAATAACACTTATTTCCCCACTTGTTTCTCTATTTACCAATAAAACTGTTGTCCCTCCTTATGTGTTTCTAATTGAAATTGAAGCTAACACACACTTGTTTTTCCCCTTAATTGATTGTGTGCCAAAATCACTGATATTTTCTATAGTCAAAATCCCGCTGGCCTTATGCAGGGCCAAATTCACAAGTAATGTAAATGGCAGAGAACATTCCATGCCCACAAGGGGGAATATATCAGGGAAACTATCTTGCTGATGGGATGGTAGGGTGTAGCAAGAAAACAAGCCAGCAGGAAGAGTAAAAAGGTGTCAAATAAAGCAGCCCCCACAACCTGTGCTGTTTTGCACATTTGTAACATATCTTATGAGGGTTGTATTCCTGCTACAATCCCGTCCTCCTTGATACTTAGCATGAAAGTTACACCCACGTCTACCAAATGAGTCATGTATAACTCGTACCGCTTGCTCAACTCAATCTTGTTTGATTTCAGTGGGAGTTTTGCCTGTTTTTATTCAACATGTGCTAAAAAGCCAGTAGAAAGAACATGGATGTTTAATGCAGACAAAACTATTGACTTTACCACTGTTATTTACAAGGTATCATGCATGGACATGGTGCTTTAGAGATCCAAGAAAGGCAGGTCCCTTCCTACAAAAATTGACAATCTAGGCTTTGTTTAGACGAAGGATTTACCCCAATTATAGCCACTACTGTAGCTCTGCTAGTGCAACTCCTAATGTGGATGGGGCTAAGCCCTTATTTGCAATGGTGGAGCTTGAAAGCTGAGTAGACTGCACTAACGCTAATAGTGGATTTGCCTCTCTACTATACTCGGCACGTAATTGCCACAATCCCCAGGCTAGGCCAGGCAAGCATGAGCCCATACCTTGTGGGCCAGCTAGCTCAGCTGGTTAGGGCATGGCGCTAATAATGCCAAGGTCACAGTTTCAAGCCCTATGCTGGCCACTCTGTGCGCTGGATGGAGAGGGTGGCATCTGTCTGGAGGGTGGTGAAGCACTGGAATCCTGATTATGTTCTTGATGTGAGACTATTTGACTTTAAACACTATCTTTTTGCTATGTCATTAAGATTTAACCTAATGGAAATAACAGTTTTCAGAGTAGCAGCCGTGTTAGTCTGTATCCACAAAAAAGAAAAGGAGGACTTGTGGCACCTTAGAGACTAACCAATTTATTTGAGCATGAGCTTTCGTGAGCTACAGCTCACTTCATTGGATGCATTGAGTGGAAAATCTGATGAAGTGAGTTGTAGCTCACGAAAGCTTATGCTCAAATAAATTTGTTAGTCTCTAAGGTGCCACAAGTACTCCTTTTCTTTTTGAGGAAATAACAGTGTTATGAGTTAGTTTGTTGTGGATTGAGTTAAAATGCCATTGCAATTGATAGGTGTGGACTCACCCTTAAATTAACATAACTGTAAGTATGAGCCCCCACCTAAGACAAAAGGGGTGTGTGAACCTGCCCAGGAGCTGAATATTGTTTTGGGTAGAGATATGTGTGTGTGGAGAGATTTCACACAGAAACTGAGAACAGACAAGAACAGAGAGAGAGGAAGAGGTAAGAAAGCCAAATAGGAGCCTATAAGCACAGTTTGACTTTGGAAAAAGCTAGAGAGAATTCATTTGTGTCTAGTGTTGGCTAAAAGGGCTTGGGGTCTGTAAGCTAAGAAACTGATTTGTTTTGTTCTTGGTTCCTTTTGTGTTCAGAAACACAGGACTTTATACATTCATTGTAAATAAAAAATATTGCATTGAAGAAAATATCAAACACCATCAATTTCTACTTCCAACTGGAACATGCTCAAGGTCCCAAACTTTGACTAGCCGCTCAGGTTGCAAAGGGGCAACAGTAATACTTTGTGACTGTACTGTGAGTCATATATTCAAAACACCGCACACACATTAACTAATATAGTTACACAACATCTAAATAACTGACAAGGCAACAAAGAAGCAGACAAATACAAAGCAATGGATGCAGTTCTGGAGTGGTGTTAGCATATAAGCCTGTTTGTCAGCCTGAGATAGAATTTTGGGTTTGACTTTTTGGCACTCATATCTTTTACTAATATGTGTATACAAAGGACAAAGACACTGTGTTTTACATCTGCCCACAAGCAGATGAGGTGAAAAGAGATAAGAGATGGAACCAAAGTATTACAGGGTATGGTGGGAATGTAATATATGAGCATACACTGGAAGGCTGCCTGGCTCTTCTCTCAAGGCAAGGTCAAGCAATCAGTTGGGAGGGGCAAGGGGAGTTTGGGGGAAAGGTATAAACCACTAAAAGGCCAAAGAAGTGCCTGTCCCTGTCCAGAGCATAGCCTCACTCCTCGCCCCTCCCATGGGATACAAAAGAGGTGGGACGAAGATCCTAGTCTCACCACCTTCCAAACTGGAACGTGACCATAAGTTGTAAGGGGTGGGACTGAGGGCATGCATTGCAAGTCTATTTGGGCCTGCTAAGAAGGAGGAGATGGGAAATGGGAATGGGGAAGGGGGACACAGGCAAGGCTCTGTGGCATCAGAGCTGGGAAGGTGGGAGATGGGATAAATGCTCTGTGGCTTCAGAGCTGAGAATGAGATGCTGGGAGACAAGGCTCTGCGCATCAGAGTTATGGTATACATGTTTGCTGGAAACTAACCCCAATAAACATCGCATTGCCTGCTCTTCGGACTTCTGGTCTTCTGCTTTCTGTCTGCGAGACCAGAACCAGGGGAGAGGATGAAGGGAAAGCCCTCGAACAAGTGGGTTATACAGTAAGCAGAGAGATGCACAGCTCAGTAAAATACAATTAAGTTTTTGCTTGTATTTAACATTTGCATTGTTCTGATTCAGCCACCTGTGATGCCATGTTTAAAGCGTTAATTAGGATGTAGTAGATGCTGGTCCTTTGCTTTATAAGTTTTCTCACTACTGTACATAAATATATAATTATGCTAACTTTAAGCATCTGGTGGTTGGCTTTTTATTGAACATCTGCAGGTCTACTGAGGACTGACTGTTTCTACAGTTGTTCCCTGAATCATCATAATATTTTCAGGCAAATTGCTGAGAAGATAGAAAATAATATCTTTTGCCTTTAGATGTCTTTACTATTTCACTGTCAACTTACATTTTCGCTGGGCTAAGTCACTAACAGGAGAATATGAGGCTGATGACCTTCTACAAGTGGTTGGAGGATTCATGTGAAAACCTAAAATTCTTCACAATCTATTATCAACTTCCTGTCCTAAAAAGCTGTTTCATGTTGCCATGGGTTGTTAAACAGCAGCTATGTTCTGCCCAAGAGTCAGCTGCACCACTGGTTTTAAATGCCTATGCAGCTCTGACACACCCATAACCATGGTCAGTGTTCAAATTACAGAGAAGAAAAGTGGGGATTCCTGAATGTCCAGTGGTTTTCTTTTATTTAAACAGTAGTTAGAAATAAAGGGGCCAAAAACAGAGCTAGGTGTTAAAAATATGGTCATTGTGGCTACATCCTCAACTGAGAAGAATAGGCACAATATTTTGACTAGTCCAACACAGAAGAATGTTTCTTACCTCTGTTGGTGTTCCCATATAACAATATAATACCGGCCACTTATATAGTGCCTTTCATTCCAAAGGATCTGAAAGTGATGGATGAACTAAAATGAATACACAATTCGTGTTAGTAGATCACTACATTCAATTCTGAAATAAAGGAACCTTTGCTGTGAAATGCACAACATCTTATCAATGACCAGCAACACTATACAGCAGTCCAGGACACAAAGTGAAACTGAATAGCATACCCAACAGAAATTGCTACCCCTCCAAGAACTGCCATGTATATTTCCATAAGCACTCAGAAAAACCTTGGTTTCACTTCTCATTTTGTATATGGTACCCCCAGCAGTAGAGCACCCCCAGCATGATTTGGTTTTTGAAAAATAAAAAGTGATGCACACAATCAATGGTCAGTACAAGTGCTGATCAGTAAATATAAATTCCACTTCATACTAGCCATTGGCTGGCTCATGTTATTGTTTACAATCTATTTTTGTTTTCAGTTACAGAATAGAAAAGAAGAATTCTTTTGAATGTGCTAAAATATAAAAATATTTTTTAAATGTACTGATGATGGAATGATAGAAAATGACTATAGATACAGTTAGTCTTTTGCTCAGAGAACTGAAAATATAGATTAAGAGAAATTCCTATAAATTCCAGTGAGTTGTGTCTCATTTCAATTAAGGCATATTGTATCTCTTTCTATGAAGCTGACCTTCAAATTTTCTTTTGAATATTTTTCAAGAAACAGCTGCTATTTGGTTATATTGCATTGCTGTCACAGTAATTGGCACTTACAAAGGAACATTGGGGCCATAATACAATGTGCCTCCTTTCAAACATACAGGAATTAAACTGAATTATGTTCATTAAATGCCAGCAGATGTCATTGTTTCCCCAGGAAGAGTCTCCTTCATCCTTTTTTGAAACAGTAAAGATCCCTAAGGAATTCTGGAATGTTGCATTTAGAAATAATTTCGTGTTCTTTAGTTTACATTCTAGCAATGTAGTGTAATCATCAGTGCTGTCTTTGTTGCTACTCTCTCTTTTGAGTTGGAGGTTTAAAATATTGTATAAATTTAAATATCTCTTCCGCTCTACTGTCATGTTGTGGGGTGCAGTCCAGACCACGTGAGGGGTTGTGTCACCATCTGCCCTATAACCTTGGGTGCGTCACAATGCTCTGCTATTGTAGCTCCCTACATGGGCCACTCACAACCAGCCTACCAGCAGGCAGGTCCCACCCTGAGCGTCTGTGTGCTGGACAGCCCTGGTTTGTCAGCTCTGACCCAGCAGCCTGTCTACAGCCCCACAACCACCAGCCTTGGTTGCAACCAGCAGGGTGACCCCAACGCACTCCCAGTCACCAACTTTGCCAAAGCCATGTGCTCTGTAATGTCCAGCCCTCTCCTGGACAACTCAGAGAAATCCTCTAAAGACACAAAACACAGCACAGCTTTTAAACACAGCACTGACTTGGTTTATGGTAAAAATGAAATAAGTGAGTTCAATTATGAGGAATGAAAATAGAAAGAGCTACAAGTAAAACAAAACCAAATATTCTTCTAAAAGTCTCAAACTAAATCTAGCAAGGCACAGACTTTGTTCAAGATGGTTTCTCTCACCAGTTGTTTTGCTTCCCAGCGATGTCTGACTTTCCCTCGGTCAGGACCTTCCACAGAAGCACAAGGTGATGGCTTCCCTTGTCTTCTTAGGTGAAATTTTTTTGCCTAAGCAGGTTTATTACCTATATTCATTGCACAGAGACCTCAACACTACCCCCTTGGCTGAAGAACCCATCCTTCTCAGCTTGCAAGAGCTCTGTTCCCTTGTGTCTGCCTACTGATAGATGCCTAAAATGGCTTCTGTCCGTATATCTTCCAAAGTGCAATGAACTTGTTTCAAGAGGCAGGGTTGTTCTTCCCTCCCTGTGGGCTTCCCATCCCACTGTAAGAGTTCAATGTAAATAGAGCTTCCATTGTTTCTGAGTCTACCATGATTAATTTACACTGAAGACAGGTCGATAGCTGTGACATTTCCTCCTGTCTGGCCAAGCTATCAATGAATATCCATAATTCCTTATATAGTGCTATATAATAATCACCGGTGTGTTTCAGGCATTCGTAAAAGATCTTACATGATCCTCTTCTATAATATACTAATATTGCATGCACTCAGTTGATTCAATTGCTTATCTTTTGAGGCTCAGAGCCCCGCATCTATATAGCTCAGATAAATTTCCTCTTGCTAGGGTGTAGCCATACTGGCTCTTTCCCCACTTGTTAGCTTTGTTTATCTGGCATGCCAGTGTGCCTCCATTGTCTTTGCCTGAGAGCCAGGCTGGTCCAGACTTGCTGATCCCCAACCACCTTGCAAGCTTTGATGGTTTTGTTCACTGTGCATGTAAAT